TCGGAAACGAAGAACAGCGGGCCACTAGGCACCAGGGGCGCCACAGCGAAAGTAGTTCCGACCGGTGGTCCGGTAAAGTACAATCTTACCCAATATTCAGACATTTAAATATTTCTCGCTCTAGAAATTGAATTCGATGCCAAAAATGCTTCTTCCCAGTCCTCACAGAATGACAGAATGAAAGGATGGCACCTAAATCTCTCAAATAACCAAAAAATCTCTAGACTAGATCGGAAACCATTCAGAGAAATAGTAAATTTTATTTTCCTGAACGTTCGGAGAAATAGTCACTTCGAAAAAAGAAAGTCATATAGATCTATATGTGAAAGTGTCTTGTCGGGTTCGCCGTTGTGACCGGTCAGTGAACCTGTGTGTTCGCGATACATAATGAGGACAGGTTGGGGTTACCAAAGTTCATTCAAAGTCTGTGCGCTGCGAAGTAGATCTATAGGGCTCCAGGATGGGGGGATAATTGATTTTTTTTAAAGGTACTGTCAGGGGGAGGGGTGGGGTTGAAGGCATCACCGGGTGATAAAAACTGAACTTGGAGTTCTGAACTGCCCTGTTCCTGTGTATGTGACACTGAGACTACATGCCCGGTTGCCGGTTACTGTGTCCGTAGATATTGAGGCTACATGCTCGGTTACCGTGTACATGACACTCTGACTGAGACCAGGCTACATGCCCAGTTGCTGGTTACCGTGTACGTAGACACTGAGGCTAGGTGCCCGGTTACCGTGTACATAGACACTCCGTATTATTGATAGAACAGCTAAATATTTGTTTATAATGATAATCAGCCTTAGGCCTATAGAGATATATTATCTAAAATTTATACTAGTTAGACTAGATCTACATGGATCTAAATCTCTGCCTTCACACTTCATTACAATTAATGTATTAGACCTTGCATCTGCACTGGAGGTCTCATAAAAACCGAAACCTGTGGCACCACAGAGAGATTGCTCTTGAAAATAACTTGGACGACATTATTAGAGAGTTGAGAAAACGAGAATGCTATGCTTGTAGCTACGTTCACTTTTTGGAAGTTTTTCCTCAGTTACCTCTTTCAGTTGCAGGGTGCATGCATTGAGCTTTCTCTAAGACATTGGCAGCTTTCTTAACCTGCGAAAGGGTTACTGAGAAAAGACCAAAAGATGCAAGACTAAATCTGCACACTATACTGCATGTATACTGTGCTGTGCTATATATAGCAATAGACAAGTAAAAAGACTTTTATATGCCAGTGTAGTGATAAAACACATCCTCTGAAGCCCCAAACTGACAGAGGGGATTAGGAGGGATTGCGAGTGGTCAAGTTTGAACTTTATCTTCACTTTATGCTTAATTGGATTTTTTTTTAGGCGGGGGGTGGTAAATGTTTTACAGCATTTACAACTGCATGCGTTTCATGTAAGCGCGCCAGTCACATTTAAAATTTTCGGGTTGGTAGGAATCAGTTTTGAATTTTGCTTGGGTGGCAGCCGAAGCCTACTCTTATCGATTTGGACCACCAAAGGATCTTTTACTCATTATCTCCGGCTAGCCACTCCCTGCAGCTCACGGTCAGAATCACTGTGCTCGGGCGCATTCCTTTACGACGACTTCAACATCAAATTACTTTTCGGATTGCCGAAAACAAGTCATTTTTACCACAATTTCATTTCTAAGAATAAGAACTATGGAAATAGGTTCCCTTGTTTTAATTGAATGACCAAATTAGTGATGTTTGTCAATTTAAGATTTTGAACCAAAATAGGGCCCCAGCGTAGCGGTACCCCTCTCTGAGATAAAGAGTAAACATGCGCAACTTGCACACTGGAGGTCAGAGATTAGATTTTTCACCATTTTCGGAGAGGGTGTGGCTGAAAGACAGCAGCGAGAAAGAGCCAAGGTGAAGCACAGTAGAAAGGCTGCAAAAAGAGTTGGGAGCCCAGAGGAGGGGGCCAAAGGGGTAGGGGCAAAACTTGGAGACGAAAGCAGACAACAGAACATGGTTAGAGATCAGGAAAAGTGGTGAAAGGAGAACATTTTTAGTTGCTGTTAGGTTTCGAACCCTGGACCTATTGATGAGAGGCAAATACCTTAACCGCTGGACCACAAGAGCCCCCTGAGCTTAACATTTAATTTATTGTTTCCTATTTAGTTATTTGATGGCTGGGAATGGGCATGGGAGGAGATGCTGGTTCCTAGAGCTGTGAAGTCTCTAATTATAAACTGACCTTAATAAGAAGGTGTGGGAGGTAGGGGGTTGCAGTAGTGTCACCTGTGAGCTTTGAATTTAGCCTGCTATTTTTCTTTTCTCTATTCTAAACTTGAGGATGTTGGGGGAAATAAGTTCGATCCCTTTAAAGCCCCGAAACTGGCCATAGTAAAGGGGTGGGGGGGTTGCTCAGTGTCTCATATTAGACTTTTCATTCAGTATGCTCAAGTCCAAGAATCTAATGCTGTAAACTTGTAATTTGTTCACCAGCTGCCAATTTTCCTTTGCACTTTCTTCCTCTAAAATACAGCACATGTAAAGAGAGAAGGGGTAAAAATCTAAAAATTCTGCTTTGTAATCAGCCCATTTGTGAGACGTGCTGACAAAATAAGTTACTTCTCACCATCCACAAATGGCGTATTGGCCAAAAATTGACTCTAGGGTTAAATTTGTAGATTTTTTTATTGATGCCATATTCTTTAAGTATAACATGCCTTTTATTATTATTTCATACTAATAAAATTGTAAAAACCTAAGCTATGAGCATGATATGTATCTATTTCCATAAGGCTCGAACCTGAGAAGTGACTCATTTGTCAGCACTCTTCAGATTTGGTCAGAATTTGATTTATTTGTTGCATGTGCTCGAGAAATATTTTTTCGAAATTCAAATTCTAAATGTTGACTAAAAGCAAGAAAAACTACTTAATTTGATAAGTATAATTTTTAAAAGAATGAAGCAGTCTTTTTTTTTTCCCTGCCAACGATATGCTTTGTCATTTTATCTTTCAGATTCAATCATGGCTGGAAAACTGGCAGGCAAAGTGGCTATTGTGACAGCATCGACAGATGGGTATGAGTGACATGAGGCTTTTTCTTAAGTTACTTACTAGCACTACTTTTGTATTACTTTTACTTTACCTTCACCCTTCTGTTACTCTTCTCTATTGCGTTGCCCAAACTTTGTTCCTCCTCTTTGAGTATTATAGACGTAATGGCGTCTCAAAATGTTTTGGAGTTAATTTGTCATAGTTAACTTAACAATGGCATGTGATTGACATTATAATGAAAATTTAGAGAGCATGTCTGTGTTTCTCCTAACCAGAGTTAAACATGTGCATCAGCCTCCTAGTGAGCCATATGAGTCTGTTGAAAAATTAATATTAATTTATCAGAAAGGAAGTCCATCTTAATACAATTACCAGTGCATGCTACAAATAAGATTCATTGGATTGAGTCAGGGCCAGCCTTCTTGGAGGGACAAAAACTATTTTGGAACAATACTACTGCATTTGACTGTGACCTTCAATATCAAGCACCTTTGATTTTTAATGTTCCGAGTTGAATCGGTCATATAATGTCAAAATGGTAGCTTTTGTCCCATCCATCAAGTAAAATCTGGCTGTCCAGTTTGCACTGAATATAAGTTTACTTAGCGATGATTGTGCTTTATAATTATTCAACTCTGATATCAGATTTTGAGAGCTTCAAAAATGCTGTTGGACGTTGTATGTTATCGTTTTACAAATTATATTAGCAAACAGTCTTGCAGAGGGGGTGAGGTGGGGGGAGTCTGCTGAAAAGAGATCAGTACAAATCTATATGCCATACACTAGAGAACCAGTCATCTTTGACTGTGGTTTGCAATGACCTCTTTAGGGCCTTACAAAAGGACATTTCCTTTCATTATGAGTCAAGCTGCCCAACTGGAACGGTGTCAAAGTCAGAGATGCATGACTTTTTCATATTCTGGGTGCAGCCAGCACCAAAGCAACTTTGCCAGACGTGGGCACATATGTGTCATGACGCTGTGGAATCAGGCTGTCGTCAATTTGGGGGCATATGGAGTTATTGGTATGATCTTAAAGATTGTCCATTTGCCTTGCTTTTGATGAAAACAATCTATTTATCTTGGATACAAGTCAAGATATTGGTGATTTGAAGGAGGTGGGGTAGCCTGGTTTCAGAGGTAAAATTAGCAAGAAAATGGCCGCCAAAGTTGAGTTATTTCCTAAACTTGAGAGCCCATGGAAACTGAAAATTTACATCCCTTTTGCCGTAACTCTTTTCCTACCAGGCCAAAATCCACCACTGGCCCAGGGCTTTTCCCTGACCTATTTTTACGCCCCTACCCCGCCAAAGAAAAATGTCAAAACATCCCACTAAACACACACAAACCACACCTTATGGCCCATCAAACTGAAGGTTAAAAAATAATCTATCAGATGGCAATACAGTATTGAAGATTTATTCCAATTATATTACTTTGGGGTTTCTAAAAGTGATTATGCAATATTGAAGGTGTTGTTTGAAATCTACAATTTTCAAGCTTTGAAAGGTCATATCTAAAAAATAACAACAACAGCATCTTTCAAACTTCCCAGGTAGGTTGCCTCAAGTAATGCGAAGAAATGCTGAAAGTTATGTATGTATACCTAATATTGAAGTGAAAATATAAAACATATACTGAAGTCAGGGGAGCGATTTTTTTCTCATATTTTCATTTCGCAGGGGACAAAAAAAGCGGTGAAATGACAAAAAAATCGTCTCTCAGTGCTATATTTTCTTTTGTATCTGCTAACAAGAAGTCTATTTTATTATTTTGAAAACATAGAACGGCCGAGAGTTTCGTGTCTTATCATTACTGGATTGGAATAGATAGCGAGCCACCCGAGCCGTATTTTGCGGCTCTCGGTCCAGCGAGGCCAGGTCCACGATGTCGCTCGTGGTAGGGAAAGTGTTAAATCAACGTTTTTCAGTACTATCCACACAGAAATGTGTTCATTAACTGGTATGAAAGATGTTTGAGCCAAAAAAAAAAATTCTATAAAAGTTCCCAAACCTGCAGGAAAATCTTGTGAAATAGAATATTTTTTCTTGGTCTTCCCAGTCTTAGCATTTCAGAAACTTTTCACAGATTTAACCCCCAAAAAAAGAAGAAATATCAATGATTTGAGTGGAAAAATGAGAATCATGAGGCTTGACTGGCCATCTTTGTCATGATGGATTGAGTCTGGCTGCTTCAGGTAGGAGAGCAGATTTTTAGTTTGCCGTACATTTGTCTGCAAAGTTGTTGATTTATTTGAACTGAAATCTAACACCGGCTCGCAGTATTTAGCTTTCCTGAACCACTTTGATCGAGACTATTATCACAGATAAAAGCTTAGCTACAGTAAAAGACATTGTTATTATAATTTATCGACAGCAAAAATGGACAAAAGATATGAAACGGGTAAGTGGTTAAAATTCTGTCACTTAGTCCATGACTGTATGTCTTCCCTTTAGTTTTTCCAGATCATCCCACAAATTAAAAAAATGAATTCATTTTTTCATTGAGAGGGAGTCAATATTGAGATAGTGCTAATTTCGAGCAACCTGTTTTTTTAAAGCTTTTTTTTTTCCATTTCATCATCAGTATGCTATTGGAGGTCCTCTTATTCTGTGTTTTGACTGCGTTACCTTTGTGGTTGATTTTTGAACAGTCTACCTTTTTATTTATTTTACCTCTAAAACTTGTTTTGGTATAGTAATATTTGTCTGTCTTTAATTACTATTATCTTCTATGCTCTTTTGTAATAGAATTGGCTTTGCCATAGCACGACGCCTCGCCCAAGATGGAGCAAAAGTCATGGTCAGCAGTCGGAAACAGAATAATGTGGACAATGCAGTGAAGGCCTTGAAGCAGGAGAACCTCAATGTGGAAGGTCTTGTATGTCATGTGGCGAAAAAGGAAGACCGCTCCAAGTTGTTTAATGAAGTAATTGTGTTTTTCTTGTTCTTTAATTTTTTTTATTTTTCTTGTTCAATCTATCTTTAAATTATGTAGAATGCTCACTTCAATTAAAAAATCTAGATGGATCCTTTATGCAAATGTATACAAGTCCTTCATTTCTATTATACCCCAATCGGCATCTTACTTTACTGTGGGCATTTTTTTTTTTTTTATAGAAAGTGAAATTTAATTTATGAAGTTAAAATGGACAGTATGATGTTGATTTTCCTCAGAAGAAAATATTGTGCTTTTAGTAACTTCTGTAAAACAAATGAATGTGGCTCAAAGATAACCCTTCAGAAGGTGAAAATCTTTGATGCTGATATTTTTTTGGTTGCTTTTTTGGTTTTTGCAAATTTGAAAAGTTCTGTCTTTCTTGAGAAGTTTTTGTTGTTGTAAATGTTGGTGTAACTGGCTATTTCAGTGGAAAGGCATAGCTCATAAAATAGCATTGGGGTCAGGAGGATAAGTCTTGAGAAAATGTTCCTATTTGTAAACAATTTTACGGATGTATTTAGCTCATATATTGTTACATTGATACTTTTACAACTTTTTTCTTGGAAGGCTCTGTGTTTGCCCCCTGAATGCTACTTCTAATCTGGCTTGAACTGTTCCTTTGTTTTTCAGACTGTCAAGAAGTTTGGAGGCATAGATGTTCTTGTTTCCAATGCAGCCAGCAGCACTTACTTTGGCCCGACTTTGAATGTGAGGAATTATCTGTACATTGTTTCCTCTAGATTTATTGAAATGACAGCTTAATATTTAAAGGGAATGGAATATCGACACTTCTTATTTTTACCTATGATAAGGATGGAAACTGATAGTTCAACTGAGATTTGTCATTGATAAATATCTACAGGAAGGGAGGCTCAGAGTGATTCATATTAATTTTAGAATGGAACATTAGACTCACAAAACCTCATTTCAATTTGTCAAGGGAGTTAAAGTAAGAAGTTCAAGTTATGGGATCTCTGGTTTGTTCCACCTTTGCTGTAACTGCAAAATAATGTTTCAAAATCCTATAATCCGCTATGAAGAAAGGTAATGACTGACACATATTTGCAGGGATTAAATGTTTTTACAGAAAAAGAATAATTGTCTGGAAAGTAAATGATTGATGTAGATATATAAACTCTATCAACATTTTGTAAATAAACAAGAAAGGAATGAGTGAACAGTGTATGTAGATAAAGTCTTTTGAAAGAAATGTACTGTTTTTTGTACCATGCTGTAAATTATCTGTTTTAAGGTTGTTTTTTTCATGTGTTTTGTCTTTTGCAGACTCCTGAAGATTCCTATGACAAGGTAAAATAAATTTTCAATAGAAATAATGATAATGATAGACTTCACTGTGCACTATGGATAGTTTTGTGTTCTTTCTAAAGTGTTTCGATGAGGTATTATTATCAACTTTGTTTGTTTAAGTATGTTGCTTATGTTTATTATGCAATGAAAGCTCTCTGAAATATAGCATGAACCTTTTCGCATCTTTTGTAGAAAGTTTCAGTTACGTAATGGAGCAAAATTACAGTCGAACCTGCCATGACGGCCACCTCTATTAGACGGCCACCTGTTCAAACAGCCACTTTCCATTTTCCCCCTGGAGTTTTTCTATATAATTTAACTGTGTAAAACGGGCAGCTGTCCAATGCGGCCCCGGCCACCCTATTTTATCAACCCATGGCCAAATCTACGTGCCTAAGGCGGCCAGACTTTCTAAAAAATTATGCATTTTCCCCTGACGTTGTGGACAAGCCCTCATACAGTAGTCTCCGCCTAAACGCACGCTGTACAAAAGCACGCTCCGCTCAAACGCACGCTTTCGTTTTCTGACGGGTTTTTTACAATGTAATTTAGACGTACAAACGCACGTTCACTCCCTCTAAACGCATGCTCCGATCCGCGAAACACGCCAACAAGAAAAGCCTGACAAGGGGAAATTTTCACTACAACCTGCACAGCTTGCATAAGACAAGCCTAGAAAATTGGTAAGCATCCCCCTCACGCCGAACAAAGACAGTGATGCCGATGGACAGCGTTTTCACATCCAACTTTCCACTGACACATTCACATATAATGTATCTTGTGACTGCATGTAATGATTAGTTAGATCTAGGCCTGATGCGCGAAATGCGTAAATGCCGTAAAAACTAGACAGGCCTCTATAGGATTAAAGAGTAGCCAAGTAAGCCTAAGCAGCTGGGCTCGAAGAACTTATAACGTACTTGTTCAACGAATCACAAGAGAAATGTTTCTCTGAAAGTAGAGATCTATGATTCTGCATGAATTTACGGTCGGGGTGGTCGCTTGGAAAGCCACATGGATGGGCCGTCTCTATGACTAGATCTATGACTATCTGTAACAGTTTCCTCTCACACTATCTGTTCCCGACGTTTATAGTGCATATTCATTACATTGAGTCTGTCTCCCACCCCCCCACCCCCACCCCCCATTCAACGCCTTCGTATTCTTAAACCCAGTCTGGAAATCCTTCACAAAACAGTCATGTGTTGTCACATTATCTGCCAAAATGACCCCCTCCCTCCAAGGGAGGTTACTAGAGTAATAAGGAATTGAGATGACTGCGTCCTTTCTTCCCTTTGCAAATGTTCATGTAAACGCACGCTCCGTATAAACACACGCTAAGGAGCCCTTCCAAGCACCGTGCGTTTAGGCGGAGACTACTGTAATTCATTCACCTGTCATTGTTGTCGGTCCCTCCAATGGATGAAGCGGTCATGCTGCTTACATCACTCCCAATGTTTACCCAAGTTGACCAATGGGTAACAATAAATTTCAGCTGCTGGTAAGGGAAGCGTGTGATCCGTCATAACCTATAAGGCCCGCCATCAACTCAGTCTGTAAACCAAGTCCATAACAATTGAAGTCAACACAAACCTGCGACAAAAGTGTTGCCGAGTGGTGGCGACCCATTTATTTGTTTTACTATGACTCTTGGCCTTCCTCGTCAAACATTTCTTTTCGTTTTGACCTTTCCCGGAACCATAATTTAAGAATAAAAATAAAACTAACGATAAAAAGTCCCACAAAAATCGTCCTATCCTCCCCCCCCCCCCCCTTTTAAAAGAAATAAAACAACAACAACAACAATACATTTTCATCAGTCAGAAGCATGCAACCACCTCCAATTGGAACCTCAGAAGTAAATAGTTGGGTTTTTTTAATATTTTGATCAGTCCTGCCTAAGACGGCCACCTGTCTTATACAGCCACTCTTCCCCTCGACCATGCGTGGCCATCTTACACAGGTTCGACTGTATATGCATTGTCAAAATACTACAGTGTTTTGATAAAATATTGCTTTTTCTTCAATATAATTAATATGCCAAGAAGGCTGTCTTTGTTGGAAAATTATATCACCTTTTGATGAAAAAGCTGTTGGGGTCACAAAGTCATAGTCACGCAATGTGCTAGTCTTTAGTTCACAGAACACCCATCAAATATATTACTAAAGCTCTTCAACATAAACCAAGATGGTCGTTTTGCAGCTGTTTTGTTTTCTTTCAGAGTTTCGAGTTCTTTGGTTAATACATCAGTTATGAGTTTGTAAAAGTCTTGATTTTAAAATCTGTTGTTGTTTCAGATGTTTGATTTGAATGTGAAGTCATCCTTCATGCTGTGTAAGGAGGTTGTCCCAGAAATGGAAAAGAGAGGGTTAGTGATTGGACTGTCTGTTCTTGTTACATATATGTGCTTTAACTAAGAAGAATTTTAAGCTATTAATGAGTTGAAATTCATAATACTTTTATCTAAAGGTCATGATTTTACTCCTTTGCTGCCTTTAAATTAGAATGAAGCCTCAGAGGAGCATCCGTATTTTGTTGTTGTTTCTGATATCTGGTAGTCTTTACGCTACTGGATCCAGAGTACTTAAAAAAGTTAACATCCTAGATAAGTTATTACCAGTCCTAAAATGAAAGAAAAAAATGTAGTTATGATGGACTATTATGCATTATCTGAAGAAGGACAACCTTGGGAAGTCAGTAGCTCAAGAGATACGGTGTTCGCCTGTGAACCCTGAGGTCCAGAGTTTGATCCCCACCAGTGTCGGCTTGGTGGTTTTAAAATTGAAAATATTTGGCCCTTCAGGCGGCCATCTGCACAAATTTCAAAATCGATTTCTTCCTAAAGCTGAAGCTACTCTATTGAGTTTAAATCTCAAGAGTACCTTCGAAAATGACATGTAGCTGCCTGTCAGGCAAGGGATGATTCTACTTTCTATGTAGACAACATGGCCATGTAAATTAAAATCAACTGCACTGTGAGATGAAGTTCTTACAGTCTGTTACCCCCTGAGTTCTAGCATAGGTAAGAAGAAGGGGAAAAAAGTGGTTAACCTTGTTTTAACTGCAACCAGCATTTTGTGACATGAATTGGACCAATTAGCCACATCCACCATTATATTGACAAGTACAGCAAGAATGCAATTGTCTGCGGGAATGAAGCCATACCTACGAGAGCTTTTACTCTTCTTTATATGAAGTATAAAGAGTTAAAAGTTGAAGTGCAATACACAGTTAGCAATTATCTTGCTGCATTGAGCAGTAACTGCTAGAAATTGTGACACTTTTCTTCAGTAAAGTTGTTTCGTGGAATAACATAGAATGTTTATTATTTATTGTTCGCATTGTTATATATTCATGGTTAGCTTTGTACAATGTTATTTCATTTTGTCTTAATCCTGTCATACTTTTGGTTTCAGATGTAGTTTAAGATACATTTCATATTTGTAACAGTATTAATACTAGGCTTTTGTCATTTTTTTAAAACTAGTGTTAAAAGTCTTTGTGTTTGTCAAAGTTGATAAAGAAGTCACAAATGAGGACAGAAAGTCAGAGAAATATGCATCGTAGAGAACACATGAATACTTTAACAACATTAATGCACTCATCCGACCCTTTCTATGAAATTTATTCCATTGACCTTTTGTTCACTTCTTTGTTGGTGCCTTTGTGCATAATAGATTTCAACTTTTTAGACCACATTGTCAGGCAAACACCAAATAATTGGAGCAGAGCAAGTTTCAGAAATATGGATATATAATTATATTTGTAATATTGATTGGAGGAATTAAGTTCCTACACTGTACAGAATTGTACGTACTTTAGCTATAGGGTAGGCCTACATTAAATTTTTCTGCAAGCTTGTCATTTCCGGTATAATTTTTTTTTTTTTTTGCTTTCATGCCTTATGGTACTTCTGGTTAATGCTAATCATTTATGTTATACACATGATTCATTTTCCTTTGATTTGATTCTTGTGGAATTTGTCTTTTGATGTTCCCTTTGTCAAAGATTTTGACAATGCATTTGTAATTAGAAATGGTAGAGTGCTTTGCTTTAATTTTAACTTTGTTGTTAGGTTGTGAACTTGCTCTTGAAGATGTTCATTTTCATTTAAGAATTATTGCAGTATAGCGATTGGTTGGGAGTTAAGGGTCAATTTTCACTTTCATTATATTCGGTGTCAACATGAGTTGAAATTGAAATTTGCAATTCTTTTGTCTACTGTATCGGATTACCCCCCAAAAAAAGTATAAATATAGTCAAGGGTCAATTTTCACTTTCATTATATTCGGTGTCAACATGAGTTGAAATTGAAATTTGCAATTCTTTTGTCTACTGTATCGGATTACCCAAAAAAAAAAGTATAAATATAGTCAAGGGTCAATTTTCACTTTCATTATATTCAGTGTCAGGGGCGAAGCGTCTATATAATCAAATAATCACTGCTAATTTTGAAACATTGTCGCTGTCAAATTCATCCTTAAACGTAAACCTCATAAATTAAATGTCAAAAGACGTTCGTAATCAACAAATAAAGTGAGGCTGGAATAGAGTTGAAGGGAACATGTGCATGGCAGTCAAAGCTGTTTCATTGCCACATATACCCTGTTCACCCCTTTGGGGCCACAGTTAAAATCAATCACCAGCCCTGATTAAGTAAGCTAACTAACACTGGTCGAGTCTACCTCACAAATGTGAGGGGAACTAACTCTTAATAATCTCTTGACTGCTGCTTGTGCTTGTTTTTTTTCCTCGACTTTTTACCGTCCTATAATCAGATCGTGACCTCGATTATGACACAAGCTCCTGGCCGCGAAAGGCTAACAAAAACAGCCAAATGTGAAATTTAAAAAATAATAATTGTCATGTTCTACCAAAGAGTTAGAATCACTGGTAGATCTATAACATATAGATCTAGTACTGACATCTCTGCTTCTTTGCTTTATGTTTATGTATTCACATCTAAAGTTAAATTTAATTTTAGTGGGAACTGATATTTAATAAGATACTTTCCCGATTATTTTGGCGGTTGAACATACAATATGAATTCCGGATTTGTTTTCATTCACAACTCAGAGTCGCCTCGAGTAAGATTCTTGTGTGATATCTACAGGCCCTATCTGGTCCCATTTCACTTTGATTACCCTGTCAAACAAGTCAGCCTTCGCCCCTGTTCGGTGTCAACATGAGTTGAAATTGAAATTTGCAATTCTTTTGTCTACTGTATCGGATTACCAAAAAAAAAAGTATAAATATAGTCTTTCAAAAAGTTTTGATTTTAGTCATTCTGGTTTTTATAATGTTAACTTTTGCCTTTTACCTTGCTTGAAAAAGCAAATAAGTGAGCAGAGTAAATTTGCCCATCTATTGTTCTTTTTTAAAAGTCAGTCACACCTCAAACAAGGACATCCAGGGGAAATGTGTTATGGTTATTTTCATTTTGGCAACAGTTCAATGGATGGCCCACACTAACACTGAGATTTTTTTGTTTACTTTATGGGTTGACGTTTCAATATTGAAGATATGATTATTCTCACAAATACATTTTGCACCTGCACATAATGCGACTTTTCAGATCTGGATCGATGATTCTGGTTTCATCTATCGCTGCCTATACCCCTATGTCAGTGAGTACAGAAAACATAGTGCATAGATGACCCTTGTTTGAGATTCCGATACTTTTAACTAATAACAATGATAGTACATAACAAGATGGGCCACTTCTCTCTTTGAGCCAATTAAAAAAGCGTCCTCAAAATTTGGTGGCGCCCTCTTCACAAAAGCGCACTCTTTGCGAACAGAGTTACCCTACTTGAGTTTTAAAAAATTAAAGTGAAACTAGCAAGTTTTGGGATAAATTTCGGAAGAACGCTTTTTTTTATGGTTACGCTGACAAAAAACCTCTTCCGGAGGAAAGGGTGATGGTTTTCTTCGTTTAATTTGACTTTAGAATGAAAGGCGAGAGGTCATTAAAATATAAAAAAAACTAAAACTCCGCACTGAACGTACCCGAACTGCTGATGAACAGCAGTCGATCTGCGCCACAGAATTCTACATAAGTGTAGAATTCTGTGATCTGCGCACGCAAGGAGGTGCTATTCCTATTCTTCTTCTGGAAAAACGAAAGAGAGCTTCAAAACAGACTGCAGCGCCAACTGAAGCAAAGAGCATACTTCCTGCGGACACTTTTTTGGCTGAGTGGCCCATCTTGTTATTTACTATCATTGCTAATAATCAACATGTATACAGAGATGCCAACCAGTACGATTTTACGTATTTTAGTACGATTTTTTGCCGAAAATACGCGAATACGACTTTTCATGAAAAAATATGCATACTGGAATGCGAAAAATACGAGATTCAGCTTGGGCGAGTAAACCTAATTACCTCAAGTCCCATCTTTTAAAATAGTATCAGTATCGCAGAACTGGAATACTGTATGAAAACCAAGTCCGATAAGGTCAGTAAGTTCATTTTTGCCGGTCGCGATCGTGATATTATAATCGTTCAGCTTTTCCCCGTCTGGAGAGTACGTTTCACTTTCACACGTATAGGCAGCTATGGCGGCAAGCAGAAGCGTATGTGACGCCGAGGCTCGATTGGGAAAATCAAGATCTACTTTCGCTTTCGCTACCATCAAGAAGTTTGCCAGCAGTTGTCTGATAACGCAACATTTGTGGCATGCAGGTTGTGCAGTATAAACGAAATGAGGCGGCAATGTCGCCGTGCAAATAAAATGTAATAAACACTCGGACTCGTCGCTTGTGGGGAAAAAAAAGAAAAGAAAATACAAGTGTCGTCCGATTTTTAGATTGCCTGGCTCGCCATCGTGACCGGTCACTGAACCTGCGCGCATTCGCATCATAAATAAATACGGCATCGTGTGAGTAAAAGACCGTCTTTGGTGGGAGTAACGGCGTTGCGAAGTATATGACTACGGAATAGGGGAGGAGATTATTGATTATTTGGGGTTTAAGATACTATCGGGGGGGGGGGGGGGGGGGGTGTTTAAGGCAACACCAGAGGACAAAAATAAAAACTTGGAAGCGCATTTCAGAATTGTTATTAGAATTAGAAGAGCTTTCTGCTAAGCTCGCATTGGTGCAGGCTGTGTGCGGAATCGGGACCCCTCATACTTAACTTTGCAAATCTGTGTTATTGAAATAAAGTGTTCGCGTTTCATTGGATGGGTGAAAGTAATTATACCTACTTGGATGGGTGATAGTAAATTATACCTACATCTACTTGGATGGGTGATAGGAAATTATACCTACATCTACTTTACATCTACTTGGATGGGTGATAGTAAATTATACCTACATCTACTTGGATGGGTGATAGGAAATTATACCTACGGTGTATATTGTAGCTTTCTGTTCAGGACTGGCAGATTTTCAGTGTCACTGCATCTTGCCCTCCCACAGTTGTTACAACTCTCACAGTGCACGGGTCTACTTGAGCCTTTCAAGTTATTTCTCTTCTCTGAGTTTGAGCAATAATTTGAGTCTGTCAGTTCATAATATGAATCATGACACCTAGACTGGTTCCTGATAGTTGAAATTCTTGTTCTAGGCCCTTCCGAGTTAATTGAACTCTCAAAGCAGGATTTATTTTTTATATAATAATGAGAGGAAAATATGTAATAGATTGAAATACTTAAGTCAAACAAGACCCCTGTACGACATTGAACACTGACATGTTGTTGACTGGATACATGTATATTGTATACGTGTGTGCTCCCTTTTTTGAGCTGGTGAGCTAGTAAATTTTACTATTACTAGTTGGTCGGTCGTGGGGAATACACATTTTCCCGTGAAAATACACATTTTCATATTTCCCAATACTCATTTCGGTTTTCTGTGGTTGGCATCTCTGTGTATATCAATTCGCGTTTTTATTGCTGATTTCTTCATGTTTTGTGTTTTTTGGTTGCTACGAAACGCCATAAATCTCTTTCAGGCTAATGCTAAAATAAACATCTATAGAGTCAGATCAAATAAGTACCGTGAGAAATGAAACTTTGAAGTTGTAAAAATAGTGAAATGACTAAAGTGATACTGTTTCCATCTCTCAATGAATGCATTCTTTACAGATATATATATTGGAAGTTATTCACAGTAAAAATGTAAACTCTCCATACAATTATTGTGGCACAGTGAAATTTTTCACCACTTGCATTCCCAGAGACATGGTACTGCATTTCTTGTTCCATGCTCTGCCATCAGTCTGAATCAGATAAATGGACTCGTATACCTTGGAGTTGGCATTTTTAGGAGTGCTAATCTTTCATAGTTGAAAACTAATCTTTAAGTGAATCAGAAATAGTATCCTCTCCAATGTCTCATGTCGCATGATTGTGGTAGCATTGGAAGCACAAAGCTTAAAAGTTTTTTTTTCTGTTGTATTTGTGAACAACGCATGTAACGTCTTGTTTTAGAATATTTTGTGCAGATAACTTGGGCTTGCTTCATCTCCATTTTCATGCTGTGCTTCAAAGCTGCTTTTTAAAAAAAATATCAGTCACTTCAACCAAGTATTCTTGCTCTGTGCCATGCAAGCTTTATTTTTAGACATTAATGTGAGTCTTCAATCTAGTCGTGAGATAAGTAGTTACATATAAGCTCCACTTAGAGAGTAAGGCATCACTACGATTTGAAAGTATACTTTATGGCCCATAAATTCCCTATTAGAGACTTTGTTGAAATTCTTTGGAATCATGAACAAGAGTGTAATAGTTGATATATGTAATGAATTGTGAGGTGTGCAGACAAAATTAGTTACTTCTCCGATTTTAGCCTTATGGAAATTGATACATCAACTTTATAGGTGAAGTTTGTACAATTTGTAAGTATGGAATGATGAAAGACACGGTAGACTTGAACAAAAATGGCATCAATTAGATATCTATAAATCTGACCGCAGTGTCGATTTTGGGCCGATATCTCCATTCTTGGTCAGCGAGAAGTAACTCATTTTGTCAGCACACCTCACAATTGTGCATCATATATTGTACCTGACATCTTGTTCTTCAGATAGCTTTTTATTCCCTAGCTGTTCCTTCATCCATATGAATAGAAGGGGGGGAAGAGTTAGGTGCCATGGACCATTTCCACTCTTTACCCCCC